CAGTAGGTACTTCTTCTTAGTAGCTTCTACTGCTGCTTTGCAGTTTGCATCTTTCTTTTGCTTCTGCTTACAACAGAGTACATAGCCCCAGTGTTGCAAGGTTGAATTTATAAAAGTGTCTTTCTAGATTTCATTGACAAAAATCACTAGATTTCTCTAGATTCAAAAAAAATTTCTATGTACTAACATAACAAATTCATGCAGATAGGTAACAGTGAAGTCCGCGTGTGAAAGCAAGCCACTCAAGTAGAATACCTTCCCGGCTTCTCCTGCTTGTCGTAAAAGACGACTAAATGGAGCAGCTGTCCGCTGTCCACTACCCAAATTCCTAACCTGTCCCTGTGTCATACGATCCCCACCCCTACCCATCATACATGTCCTGATACCCAAACCTATACCCGAGGAGAAAACCTCCACTAATACAAAAACCAGTGGAAAAAACCACTGAGAACAAATGGATATACATAGAACAGGCGGCTACCTATATATCGCCACCCTAACCTCAAGGTGTAACACCATCGTGCCAAAGGGGTGCATGGCCCAAGGGGAAAAGTGGGTCTCAAGCGAAGCCCTAAGGAGGAGGCGAACCGAAGGGGATTATAGCCTTGGCAGAGTATGGGCGCACTGCCCCCCTGGACCGAAGAATCGACCCAACTCGTGGGAAGAAAAATGGAAAAATACTCAATAAAAAAGAAGGTAAGCATAGGGGTAGGAGAGTCTATGGAGGATATAGGCGAAGAGAGGCTGGCGACATTAGCAGAAGAGGAGGAAAAGGACAGCCGGGGGGAGAAAAATGATGAGCAAAAGGAGAAGAAAGAAGGAGAAAACGAGGACATATGTGAAACAGTGGAGGAGAATGGCAGGGAAAACGAAACGGGAGATAGTAATGACGAGAGTGAATGGACGACCAACACTAACAGAAAAAAGAAAAGGAAATCGTACGGAGAGAAAGGCATAGGAGATGGCGGTAACAAAAATGAAAGTAAGATAGATTTAAATAGAAGTAAAACAGAGAAAGGAATGTCAAGAATGAAGGGATATATCGACGAGTTAGTGAACCTAACAAAGGCGGTGGCAAATACAAAGAATGAAATAAAACAGGGAGCCGCAAAGGTATGGCAGATTTGGTGCGAAATGGAAAAAACATTAGAGAGCTAATGTATAGTGCTAGAGAGGATATTGACAAAAGGGAAGGCATAAGAAAATGTGTAACAACAATAGGGACGCAAACAAAAATAACTGTAGCAACAACTACGAGGTGCGTAGGGACCCAGGTAGAAGTAAATTGGGAAGAGAACCCTGAATTACAAAGAAAAAGGAGTGAGGATTTATATAAGAAAATGGACACGGCAGAAAGCACCGAAGAAATAAGTGAAGTACTAGATCAGGAATGGCAAGAGGAGGTTTATGAGAAAGTAACCATCTGTGAAAAAGGAATTGTGGAGGCACCGGACGATGTGGCAATCTTGGTAACAGAGGATGCTGCTGACGCAAGAGTGAGAGGGGATTTTAGTGCAAGGTACCCAGACCTCTCCGGATTATACGGATAACATGTACAGTAGAGGAAAATGGGAGAGAGAGAACATCAAAAAAATTTGTTCACAAGGTGAAGCAAAGGAGAGGAGAAGAACCAATGGTTATTAAATTCTTGGCAGCAGCCAGGAAGCTATTCGACCGTATGGAAAGAATAGATAGGGATAGCAGCACTAGTAGTGGAAAAATCAAGAAAAAAGCTAGAGTGGGCAGCAAGAGGAAAGCAGGTAACGGCAACGATACACGGCAAAACGTTTAAGGAAAGGCAAATAGTAGCCACAGAAAAGAAAGGGATGGTAATCATTACAAAACCGCAGGACAAGCCCTATGCTGAACTTGTAAAAGAGTTCAGAGAAGAGCTAGGAGAAAGAGAGGATGTCGTCATAAACAAGGTGAGATAAACCAGACAAGAAGGCGTGGTCCTGGAATTAAAAGGAGACAGGAAAATGGCGGAACAAGTTAGGAATTTAGTAGCATCAAGACAAGGATGTGCAACAAGAGTAGTGGCAAAAGGTGGAAGAGTAAAGAAGGGTTTAATGCTGGCCGACATGGATGGCCTAACCACAGAAAAAGACATTGTCGAATCGGTGGAGAAATTTGCTGGTAGGGAGGCAGCATGTGAAATAGTGGGAAAAATAAGGACAAACAGGTTAGAAAGCAGAATTTGTTATGTGGAGGTGGATGAGGACATAGCCAGAAAGAATAAAGATCGGGATGATACACGTCACGGTAAAGGTGACACGATGCTATAGATGTCAAGCACATGGCCACATAGCAAGAGACTGTGAGGGAGAAGCAAAAGGGAGGTGCTGGAAGTGTGGGATGGAGGGCCATGTGCAATCCCAGTGTCAAAGCAACACGGTAAAGTGCTTTAATTGTGACGAGTAAGGTCATATATCTACGTCCACTTGGTGTCCCAAATTCAGGGGAATTATCAGAAGAGCAAGAGGTGAAGGTGGAAGAAGGGTAGGGGTTACTGACTAAGCAACAAAATGGGGAGTAAGCGTGAAAGAGTGTTAAGAGTGCTGCAAACAAATGTTGGGACGGCTAGGCTAGCTCACGACCTCGCTGTGGTCTCCGCAACCGAAAAAGAAATTGACATCCTGGTAGCAGCGGAGCCAAACCCCACGTTAGTATGCAGTAGGGAATGGTTCGTGGATACGTCGGGCGTAGTAGGAGTGCGGATACTTAATAGAAAGCTGAGAGTGTATGGTATTGATACGCATGAGGGATTTGTGACGATACGTGTGGAGGGAGTAAATGTGGTATGCTGCTATATTTCACCGAATTGTACAGTGGAGAATTATGAAAGTAGACTGGATGAGATTATGAATGAGGTAAGATTATTGGGAAGAGAGTGTGTAGTGCTGGGGGACTTCAACGCCAAAGCAGTGGAGTGGGGTTCTCCCAGAACGGAGGCTCGCGGACAAATGCTTATCGAATGGATAGGAACTCTGGACGACTTAGAGGGAGGGACGAAATAATGTCCAGGAACCAACGTTCGTGAGGGGAAATTCGCATTCATATATCGATGTCACCTGTGCTACCCAGAATGCGGCGAGGAAAATTAGAGACTGGACCGTGTTGCCAGATGACACCGCTACATTGGCTTTTCGATCGTCGGAGTAGGGACTACCAACGTGGAGTCATCAGCGAACCAAACAGGAAGCAGATGTGGAGATAGAACGGACTGGCTTGCGTTCGATGAGTATTCTAGATGGTTGATAGAGAAGAGAAGATGCCAACCGCCATCGGCAGAGGGACTTGAATCAATAATAAGAGAGACTATGAGAAATTACATAAACGGGGTAGATGAAAAAAGAAAAATGCCTTATTGGTGGTGCGAAGAGATCACCAATAAGAGGAAGTAATGCATTGCCATCAGAAGACAGGCTACGAGGGCAAGAGGTAGAGGAGAAGCAACCGAAGCTAGCAGAATGGATATGGTATACAATGCGCGAAAGAAGGAACTGAACAGGATGATCCGAGCCGAGAAGAAGAGGCACTGGAGAGAACTGTGTGACGTTGGATGAGGACGTCACTGGACAGGAAGCTTGAAGTTACCCGACAGCTATTTCCACCCGGCCATTGACATGGAGTGCAGTGGGACGCCGAAGCTGAGCGAGCTGTACCTTTTACCATAGACGAACTCAACGGAGCGTTGAGTGCCCTAAAGACACGAAAGGTTCCGGGACTCGATGGAATACCACCAAAAGCGGTGAAACGCATTGGCAGTATGGAGCCGACGTGGCTTTTAAACCACATGAATGTACTGCTTGAAACTCAGCGATTTCCGGCAAATTGGAAGAACTCGAAGCTCGTGCTACTCCCAAAGAGGGAAGACAAGTATCGACCCGTTTGCCTTCTGTCGTGCATAGGTTAAATTATACGAGAGACTCTGAAAAGGGAGAAAAGACACAGTGATTAAAGAGTCAGGCGGGCTGTCACCGAGGCAGTACGGCTTCAGAAAGAACAAGAGCACGGTGGATGCGCTAATGGAAGTCTTCCGGGAATTACGCGGGGTCGGGGTTAACCAGAGGTGGGCAACCTTACTGTTGTTTGACGTCCGGTATGCTTTCAACACATTAAAATGGAAAGAGGTAATGAAGGCCCTACGAGAGAGAAGGTATCCGAGGTACTTGATGAATTTGGTCTCCGACTATTTGTCAGGGAGGAAAATTGTGATTTGTGATGAAAAAATTGTGATGAAAAGGAACAAGAAGAAAGGCGACCCGAAGATAGGCAGGGTGCCCAGGACCAAGCAAGAAGATAATGCAGAATGGGTGAGATTTAACATGAATAGGGAGGAATAGAGGGAGAGAATTCCATCGTAGTGAGAAAGTGCTAGAATGCGTGAGAATTGTGCGTGAATGAAAGTTCGGGTGAATGCCGTGCCGAGGTTGCGTCCCAATCAGGGCGATCCGGCAGGTAATTCATCGCTGAGGAGGGTGTTTTTTTAGCAGGTAGGTCTCTGGCATTGGCGGCGATGGTGTCCGAACAACCCGAGCGAGCGGCCTCGGATATCATTGTAGCCACGCTGGAGGAGTCCTGCATAACCGAGGCTGGAGGGCGGTTCTGCTCGCCTTCTAGGACCGAGGTATGTTTCGAACATTTGGGGATCACCCCCCTCATAAAAAAAAGGTGTGAAAGTGTGAGAATTATATGTATAAGTAAAAAACAATGTAGATTGCACAAAAACTTTATGTCAATAAAAACAGTATAACAGGTAAAAATATTGAAAGATTATCAAACTATTCTAAGATACACATATACTATGTTAATATAATAATGTATTAGCTATAGGTATATAATCCATTCTTAACATTTTGTTAAGTTTGTTTTACATTTTTTTTTGTTAACTGACTGAATTGCTTAAAGCGAATTTCACACTTGTAAGATTTTTCTCCAGTGTATACTCTCAAATGTTTTTTCAGATTACTTGCTTTACTTAATTGCTTAAAACAAATTTAACACTTGTTAGATTTTTCTTCAGTGTGCACTCTTAAATGTGTTTTCAAATAAGTGGCTTGACTAAATTGTTTAAAACAAATTTCACACTTGTAAGATTTTTTCCCAGTGTGCACTCTTAAATGTCTTTTCAAATAAGTGGCTCGACTAAATTGTTTAAAACAAATTTCACACTTGCCAGATTTTTCTCCAGTGTGCACTCTCAAATGTGTTTTCAAATGACTGGCTTGTCTAAATTGTTTAAAACAAATTTCACACTTGTAAGATTTTTCTCCAGTGTGCACTCTTAAATGTGTTTTCAAATAAGTGGCTCGACTAAATTGTTTAAAACAAATTTCACACTTGTAAGATTTTTCCCCAGTGTGCACTGTTAAATGTGTTTTCAAATAACTGGCTTGACTAAATTGTTTAAAACAAATTTCACACTTGCAAGATTTTTCTCCAGTGTGAACTCTCAAATGTGTTTTCAATTGAATGGCTTGACTAAATTGTTTAGAACAAATTTCACACTTGTATGATTTTTCTCCAGTGTGCACTCTTAAATGTGTTTTCAAATGAATGGCTCGACTAAATTGTTTAAAACAAATTTCACATGTGTAAGATTTTTCTCCAGTGTGTATTCTCAAATGTGTTTTCAAGTTACCTACCTCAGAAAACCGCTTAAAACAAATTTCACACTTGTATGATTTTTCTCCAGTGTGCACTCTTACATGTGTTTTCAAATAACTGGCTTGACTAAATTGTTTAAAACAAATTTCACATGTGCAAGATTTTTCTCCAGTGTGCACTCTTAAATGTGTTTTCAAAGAACTGGCATGACTAAATTGTTTGAAACAAATTTCGCACTTGTGAGATTTTTCTCCAGTGTGCACTCTTAAATGTGTTTTCAAATGACTTTCTTGACTAAATTGTTTAAAACAAATTTCACACTTGTAAGATTTTTCTCCAGTGTGCACTCTTAAATGTGTTTTCAAAGAACTGGCTTGACTAAATTGTTTAAAACAAATTTCACATGTGTAAGATTTTTCTCCAGTGTGCACTCTTAAATGTGTTTTCAAAGAACTGGCATGACTAAATTGTTTGAAACAAATTTCACACTTGTGAGATTTTTCTCCAGTGTGCACTCTTAAATGTGTTTTCAAATGACTTGCTTGACTAAATTGTTTAAAACAAATTTCACACTTGTAAGATTTTTCTCCAGTGTGCACTGTTAAATGTTTTTTCAAATAACTGGCTCGACTAAATTGTTTAAAACAAATTTCACACTTGTAAGATTTTTCTCCAGTGTGCACTGTTAAATGTGTTTTCAAATAACTGGCTCGACTAAATTGTTTAAAACAAATTTTACACTTGTAAGATTTTTCCCCAGTGTGCACTCTCAAATGTGCTTTCAAACTACTTGCTAGACTATATTGTTTAAAACAAACTTCACACTTGTAAGGTTTTTGTTCAGTCGCAACTTCCATATTTTTATTTAATGTGTTTCCTTCAGAGTGTTGACTAGTGTAATTTTCTGCGTAAGATGAATCATCAGTTAGGGTCTCCATAATTTCCAGTTTGTGTTCGTCTAGGTCTAGGAAATAACCTAAAATACAAATTAACTGTAATATAAATATCTTATCTTAATATAAATATTTTATCAAGTTCATTGCTCTCACTATAAAAAATTGTCCCATAATGCACCAATTCAAAGTTTTAAAAAATAAATTGTTTTTAGATCATCTTGAGTTAAATGTTGTGATAATACTCATACAGTATTCGCTGTGAGCCGATGAGTAGAGGGGATTTGACAGTTTTCACCAACGCTGTTAGTGACAGTTTTGTGCATTTAACTTGTAAATGTAAACATTCAAATAATGGCGAATATGGATTTTTCAAAAAGAAAAGATATGATACATGTAAAAATACTGGGTATAACAGTGATTGTAAATTTTATTCATTTCCTGTTGCCAAGCATAAAATAGTTCAAAGAGAAAAATTGATTATTGCTATCAATAAGAAAAATAAGTAAATAACCTACAGTGCGTTAAATTTTTGATTAGGTATTGCACACTATACGGAGCGCTAAAATCGGCAACGTTGCAAATGTTCGTTCTCCGACCCGAAAATCTACACCGACATAAAATCATTTATTTTAGTTTAGTAACTCACAACAACGTTAGGGATGTACTTCTCTGTCGTCCGATTTCATGTTTCATTACGTAAAGCCGATTTTAATAGTAGGAAATTCGATAAAAATGCACTGACCTAATCGATTAGATGCATTGTTATCGATTTTTATTAATGTGAAAATTTTTTTGTGGTTGAATTAAAAATAAAAGCGTATTTTTTTAAAAAGTTAAAACAAAAAAAATATACTCTTATTGAAAATTAAAATATTATTCCTAATAAAATAAAAAAATAATTCTTTATGACCTACAGAAATGGTTCAAATAGTTGACCTTCTACGGCTGAACAGTACCCCAATCTGTCATAAAAACTTCTGCGAACAGATGAAAGAGTTTCTGCTGTAACAGAATTGGAGACTTCTCTTATTCGATTTTTTAATTCATCAAAATTTTGGGCTCTAGCCTCAGGATGAGCGTAGATAATGCTTTTTAAATGTCCCCAAAAAAAGAAGTCCATGGGTGTAAGATCTGGAGATCGCGCAGGCCACTTAATATCGCCTGTTCCACTGATAACTCGATTCGGGAAAGTATTGTTTAAATACTCCCTAATAATTCGAGCGTTGTGAACTGAACAGCCGTCTTGATGAAACCAAACATTCTCCAGATTTACATCAGGAAGATTGAGAATAGTGGGAAGAACATGATTCTGTAACAAATCGAGGTATACTCTACTATTCAAGTTGCCCTCAATAAAAAATGGACCTATTATGTGGTCTCCTAAAATGCCAGTCCAGACGTTAACTTTTTGAGGACGTTGAGTTCGGTAAACAACACTTCTGTGCTGGTTTTCCCGCGCCCAATACCTCGTAATGGAAGGATTGTGTCTCCCTACTAACGAAACAGAAGATTCATCAGTGAATAAAATGTTTTTAATAAAATTTGGTTCACTATTAGCCTTCGTTATTAGAGTTTCACAAAACTCCATTCTTCGAAAGTAATCGTCTGGATAAAGTTGCTGCGTTTTCGAATATTTAAAATTCTTGTAACCGTGCTTTTTCAATACTTTCGTTACAGTAACATTGCTAACATCTAACTCTCTAGCAACGCTTCTACTTGAACGTGTTGAATCTACCTCGATTGTTGCACAAATTTGTGTATCCCGGTATTCTCTTTCCTCAACTTTTTCTGGTAACACTTCTCGAGCGTGACATTTTCTGCAATTTTTGAGGCAATAACAACTCTCAAAATTTTTAACAATATTATAAATTGACTGTACACACGGAATTGGTCTTCCCTCAAAAAACACAGAAAATAAATCTACACACTGTTACGCAGAATTGCCACTATAAAACCATTTTATTATTTGAGCTTTTTCCGCGGCCATATAAACAGACATGTTTACAAAAATAAATTAAAACTCTACGCGTTTTAATTTATTTTTACCGCTACCTTTAAACAACCACGGTATAATGACAATGACAATATGACAAAGCCGACGGGCGACGTGCAACGACGAGTCAACGAAGCAGATATGTAGTGCAAGTTGACGACGCGCAGTGCTGCCATTGCGTTGACATGTCCTGCATCAACTAAATCTTTCCCCTTTTTTGGTGTAGCTGGTTGAAATGGGATATCATGTGATATAGACTTAAAACCAGTATAATGTTTAATATCCATTTTTATAAAATTAAAACAAATTGGTACCATTAGAGGTAAAAAGGTAACCTTTAACCATTAAATATTTTCACATAAAATTCTTCTTTTTCTCAATGGCCTCTTGCATAAGTAGTCATCCAGTCGCAGGAACTTATATCTTAAATATAAATTATAATGAATACAATAAAAAGGCGTAATTACTTTTACTATTAATTCTGTGTATTAGTTCAGTAATCAGTTTACAATAATATTTCAGTTCATAATTTTGTATTTTTAGATAAATATCTATTTTTCTTGTTTTGTCATTTTTCATTTACACTGATTTTACAAGAAAAGTACAAGTTTCAAACAGTGAGAGAGCGCTACCAGTGAAACTCAGAGCGAATAGCATAGTGAATTCAACTTTTTATTAAGTTGCTGTATGTGACTTTCCCATGTTAATGTTGCATCCATTGTCATGTCTAAAAATGCAATTTTAGTGCCAATTTTATTGTTTCTATCTACTAACAAAAGATTATTTCGACATTCTATTTTTGATCTGGTTGTTTTAAACACTAAACAATTCATCTTTTGTTTATTTATAATTAATACTTCACTGGAGAACCACTTTAACAGTATCCTATAAATATGACTCACAGTATGGCATATTGTGTCTGTACCAAATGAAAATTATCAGTCCAATTATGCTGCCCTGAGGAATGCCTAATTTTATAGGTTTAATTTCAGATTTAATATTCATATTATCTTTTGTTACAATTACCCTTTGGAATCTTCCTGATATGAATGATTTGAACCCATTATGAGCTACTCCATTTAAACCATATAAACTTACTTAGTTTTTTCAGCAATAGATTATGGCCCACAAGTAGTCATTACAGGCACTGGACAGAACTTTGAAAGATATTCATGACAATCAAAATATTTTTGAGGGAGCCATGATTCTATTGTCATATTTTTTAACCAGTTTTTAGACACTGGAAATGGTATTAAATTAAAATTTAATTACATAATTAAATGCAAAAAATTGAAATTTAAATATAAGAACAATGTGGGGAGTAAAGTTTTATTGGTGGTCTTTTATTGGGTTGTGATTGATCGGTTTTGCATTAAAACTAAAGAAATCTTAAAAGTTGGATAATGCTGTAACTAAAGTGAAAAAATGCTTTACTAGAGATTTCTTACTTAACAAGATTTGAATGTGGTGTCTGTAAATTGAATATCATGTCTTATTTTAAAGAAAAATGTTAGAAGTGGGAAGGTGCTGTAACTAAAGTTGTCTATACTTGGCACATAAGACATATTGGGACCATGTTACTAACCTTTCTCAGTTTTTTGGTTTTCTTCAAATGAGTTAGGTTTATTTCCATGTTGTTCTATTTCAGTATCTATGGGACATTTCTTCAAGTCTAAATATGTGTCATGTGTACAATTCCTATTGGATTCCTCCTGAATTTTAAATTTAAAGCCATCCAACAGAACATCATCCAATTCTTTATACTCTATTTCTACTTTACACGTTTCCTCGCTAATTTCTTGCTTTCCTTCCATTTTGTTACACTTGATTTTTATGTACAAAATAGTTTTAAAACAGTTTTTAACAGTAAATAGTAAAATGTCAGTATAAATAATAAAATTTAAAAGGCATTTGTTGCAATCTGACAGCTGGTAGTTTTAGGGTTCTGACTCTATTGCCAAATCTATCCGCTAACCTACCAAAGGACAATTGCCAAAAAATTTTTATGATAATTTGTTACAACTCATATCAAACGAAACAACTATTACTTCATTAATATTTTATATAAGGTATAAAATTGCAGAATCCATAAAATAATATGATAAAAATGTACCTTTTAAAAGCTTTATCTCTTTGTATTTGAAGCATATAACATATACATTATAATAACTTGGCAACACTGCCAACGCATTATTTCGTTCTGTGAAACTTAATTGACAGCTAATTTGAGGCTATCTTCAATGGGACCTAATGTGAAAATCGTCCCCAATAATAATTTTAAACACAAGTGGGACGATTTTATCACTTTAATCACTATAAAAATGGGCGGACCAATGGGACCAAATGTGAAAATCGTCCAAATTGGCAAAAGTATCAAATGGTAAAATTATATAGAAAAAGTGAATAGAAAAAAGATATACTCCATTCGCTTAGCTCGGGCACAGATTCTGTGGCTCGGGTATATTTTGACAGATTCATTGTCGGAATGAATTCATTCCTACTTCTCGGTATTAATAGCTCAAGTATACTACTATTTCAGACTTCTGCCTTTGAAAAAAAGAAGAATTATTCCAAATAGTGGAAGTGTATACTAAACCCATAAAATTTTCCTGTATATTTAAAATATAATATTTGAGTTGTTACAAATTAATATATTGTAGTAAATATTTGTACTATTCGCGTTGTTTATTTTAGCTAATATAGTTTTATTGTTCTATTAGTTTTGTTTAATTCTTTGTTAGTTCTATTTAGTTAATTAGTTCTATTTTGAATTTTATTATTAGGGATAGTCAGTTTTCCATTTGTTCTATCAGATAATGCGTTGGTAAGTTTTTCTTAACTAAATATAATAAATGTTCTTTAAAAGTTAATATTTTTAGATTAGCAAGGATGCTGTTAAAATACAAGGTAATCATATTGCACAAAGATTTATTCAAAACACCAACCATTTTTTAAATTATTTGCTCATTAGGCGTAGGTTGATCACTATAAGATATATTTATGAAATTATATATTTCTAAAAATTCGCTTGGAAATTTATGGCATGTATAAAGAAAGTTTCTATTATATATAAAATATATATTATTTATAAAAAAATATATTTTTTAAAAAAGTTACAGTAATTTAGTTTATATCGTTAATTGCTCCAAATGTAGTTAACCAACTTAAACTTTTTGTTAGCATTTAGCTATTTCTTGAGAATATTTTTAATAAACGTTTAATATTTTTCAGTTAATTTATTATTTTTTAAAAGTGATGATAATAACGAGTAATATTTTAAATGATATTTAATCACAAAACGTACTTAATATTGTGTTATATAATCCTCATAATAAAGTACGTTAGTTAAAAAGGTAAAATCTCGGGTCGTCCAAAACTAGTTTATGATATAAATAATAGAATAATATGATATTTTTAAATTATATATTTGATGATATTGGATTATATTTTCGATGAATAATATTTTTTAATTTTAATATGAATATTATGATATTTTTTATCTAACGTACCTTATTATGACGATTATATAACACAATATTAAGTACGTCTTGTGATTATATATCACTTGAAATAATGCCTATTCAGCATTATTATCACTTAAGAAAATAAATTAACTGGAAAATATTAAACGTTTATTAAATATATTCTCAAGAAACTTCAGCTAAATGCTAACAAAATGTTTAAGTTGGTTGCCTACATTTGACGCAACCTAACAATATAAACTAAATTATGTTTTATAAAATATATTTTTCATATATAATAGAAACTTACTATCTTTATACATGCTATAAATTTCTCAGTCGTAGTATAAGTTTGCAAGAGAGGTCAACGAAATACTCTAAACGAAATGTGCTATGAGCACGTGTGCTTGGTTGTATAGTAATTTCCAGCCACTTCTAGTCTGTCAAAAAGTAACTCTGTCTAGTGATTTTAGTAATTATTTTTTTTTTCGAAGTTAGTAACTTTTTGACAGACTCGAAGTGGCTGGAAAATACTATACAACCAAGCATTCGTGCTCTTAGTCAATATTAATGTAAACAAAAGTAAATAAAATAGAACTTTGCCGACAATCAATATTTATTTATTTACACCGTATAATGTATTGATAACAAATAATAAAATTATTTATTGTACAAAATAAAAAAGTGGGAATAAATTCTACAAAATTAAGAAGTCAAAGTGAGGTTAAATAAGAATAAGACACAGCAAGTTCCTTATGTATTTACAACATTTACAGAATTCGATAAATACATTTTAATGATCAACTTACCTCAACAGGGTTTTCATTCGGTAAAAAAAAATGGTAGGCATTTTGAATAAACATTTGTGCAGTTTTATTACCTTGTAATCTAGGAACAGCATCCTTACTAATCTAAAAATATTAACTTAAAAAAAAACTTTTTAAAAAACATTTTATCATATTTATTAAGAAAAACTTACCAACGCATTAGCTGATGGAACAAATGGAAAACTTTGACTATCCATAATAATAAAATTTAAAATATAACTAACTAATTAACTGAATAGAACTGACAAAAGAATTAAACAAAGATAATAAAACTATATTAAATTAAATAAACAACGCGAATAATACAAATATTTACTACAATATTTTAAATTGTAACAATTCAAATATTATATTTTTTAAATATACAGGGAAAATTTGATGGGTTTAGTATACACTTCCACTATTTAGAATAATTCTTCTTTTTTTCAAAGAAAGAGGTCTGCAATAGTAGTATACTTGAGCTATTTATACTGATAAGTAGGAAGTGTTGTGTTGTAGGTTTCCTACAACGAGTCTGTCAAAATATGCCCTAGCTAAGCGAATAGACCAGAGATATCTTACATATCACTGGAATAGACAATAAAAACATAATTATATTATATATATAATTCTGATTCTGTATCTCTGACGTCAACAGTGCAATTTGTCAAGGTGTCAAATTGTCAAGGTGTCAAATTGTCAAAGTCAAAGTGTCAAGACTGTCAAGTAGTGTCAACAATGTGATCTTAAAATTTAAAATATTATTAATAAACTATAAATAATTTAATAATTTCAAGAGTACTTATTTTTACAATTATTACTAATATAAACTGTGTAAAATAAATCATGAGTATTGCAGTTAAAGAAGATATATAGACATATTTTTTATATATAAAACGTAAAGCACACAAATCTCAACATATTTTCTTAGTGAAAAATGTAAGTATCTTATAAAGGAAATATTTGATTTGAATGTTCTTACTGAATTTCAATACAATAACTTAATACTTCATTAACAGTATAATGAAAAACTTTGTTGGTCTTTTCTGTTAAATTTCACACATTAACTCACATATCTAAGTAGGGCTAATTATTATACAACCTGAAATAACCAATACAATAACAGGTCTCCCTTGATGGCTTATGAAGGATTAACTAAGAGTTAAAATATAGTAACTTGTGGTAGAATGAATATTTTACTTGTTTATCCTTTATGAATTTACTCAAGTCTTCATATTGTTGTCAAATTACAATGTACTGAATGATATTCCTTTCTTTATTGTACTTGTGAAGAATTTGCACCTAAATTTGCTTTTTAAAAATTGTAGGTTCAACCTCTTGATGACAATTTATAAAATGTTACTTCCATGTAGAACCTTTTGGAAATACTAGTTTTGAGGCAGTCAAATTACTCATTGAAAATAATTTGCTCATCTCTTTGTGTTGCAGCTGTATAGTAATTAGAATTTGAGAATTATGAAATTAGTGATGGGCGAAATGACTCATTTGAATGTTTCGAATTGTTTGAATTAACTCACTGTGATGTATTGAAACATTGACACATTTTATCCAATACTGTAACTTCATTGTTTCATATCATAACAGTTCATTATCGGTCACTGTGCAAAGATACAATATTTCCTACAGATTCATTTTCTGTAAGGCACATCACAGCAATGTTATTGTTAAAGTATTGTTATGAGTATTGTTGAACATTTAGAAATTTGAGCTTGCTAAGCACAAATTTATCGTTTAAGGTGTAAGTTAGATATGTTTAGTTTGTTTTTAATAATTAGATTTTTATCCTCGGTAGTATCGATTTTCATTACTATTTTAAAATGAATACTTATCATTATCAGATATGACACATACTGACTCGATGTTTGGAGACAGTAAACATTTACTGTATCAAAACATTGAAACAGTTCTGTGACTCAATTCATTGCTTCGAAACATTGACTCACTAGCCAACACTATATGAAATAGATGATGAAAATATTTCATGATAGATGGATTGGTAGTGGACAAAAGTTTTAAATTCTTAGTTATTTTTAGCTATACAGGTTGTTCAGAAATATACTATGGTTATTATTTAAAGTTGTAAACCTTTTTTAATGTTGCCCAATATATCCCTATATTTTTCAACAAATACAAATAGTTAACAAATATATTTATTGTCTAAATGAGAATTAACCTCAATTTTAATTGAAAATATGTTTGTTTTTAAGAGTTCCACTTCCTAAAACATCAAAATAAATATATTTTCAACTAAAATTTAAAGTTAGTTAATAACATAAAATAACTTCTGAACTATCTTCTGTAGTACAGAAAGTAAGCACCACTTGCACAACTAAGAGTGTATTTCTCAACTTCTTATTAGAGCCTGTTGAAGAATTTTAAAGTATTTTTTCTTCCAGAAACAAATTTTATGTTAAGTACATATTTATATATAACACATCTACATCTTTAATACAAAAAGCATATATATACTAAAAAGATTGATTAAGTAATATATCTGTGGTTCCAAGAAAAGGGGCATGAGTTATAGTTTTTCTTAAAATTGTCAAAATAGTTTAACCAAAATTATTTTAATTTTTCTATTTGGTAAAAGGGCACATTTCTGAAAAATGTAATGCATTTGTTTATTAGAACCATCAAAAATTAGGCATGAGTCAATATTTTGGCGATACTAATAAAGAACAGGTGCTCGGCTTGAATTATGCCTATTAAATCGACAGTTGCGCAGGGTTTTGGTTTCGGAATAAGGTATACAGTTGAGTTAGTTCTGGAATGCACTACCAAATTACTCAGAACTTGTTGGCGCCTCCCACAGTGACATTGTTTGAAGTGTTTTTCTGTGTTTATTTTGTGCCTTTGTGTAAATAATATAGGTATTTAAGTGAAAATTAACTTAAATTCAGACATGAAGTAGATGTACATACATATTTTAACTATTTTCTAAATGTTCCTTCTTTGTTACACTTTATCTACATACATTACACTTTTCATATCTGCTTAAGTATGTGTTCTTATTTCCTCTATTGCCAATATTTTTCCTAAAACCCTCAATCTTGATATATTATTTTTGAATTCTTTGGCCAAATAATACTCACCAATATTGTGAGTGAGTATTGTGAGTTTTGTCTACATATTTTAACAATTTTTATTTTGGATTTCCAGGTAATCAATACACCATCATGTGTATTAACACCTTCAGTTGAGAATTAGGAAAACTAAATGACATTTTCGGCCCTTCAGGAGGACAGCCGTTCATTCGAAAACATCCATAAAGAAGATAGCGATGGTAGCGTAGCTAACACGGTTTATGTACCTTTAGACGAAAGCAGCGATAACTCTATGATTGCTAATAAAAATAAGGTTATTTCTCATAATACTTCATTCAGCTTAGAACCTTATTCTGACTCTGATACTGAGCATGAAGATATGGTAGGTGTTAATGGCGAACCTAATAATTACAAGTAAAGGAAGTCTTCATACACAAGAGCTACAATAAAATACAAGAGAAATAGAGGATTGGAATATACTAATCAAAAAGGAAAAATAGTTAGAGCAAGAAATGTAGCAAGCCTTTGTAACCATGTAGAAAAAAATGTGTGAACAAAATTAATCTTGAAGAACAAGAACAAATATTTAAAGAATACTGGAATCTTGGAGATTTTAACAAAAGAGTGTTATATTTGGCCCGATTGATTTTTCAAGCTCCTAAAAAGACTGTTTGGATTAGAAACAGCGGCTAAGGTCCTAAATCAAGAAGCATGAAGTATATTTATTATGTAAAACTTCGTGGAAGTTGAAATTTGTAAGGAATGTTTTAAGAAAAAATTTTGTGAGAGCGACAAATTCTATGCACAGTTATACAAAAGTCAGTTGTAGGCATATCTGGTGTAACAAGTAATGACTGAAGGGGTTCTAGTATACAGGCCCTTGAGCATAAGCAGAGAGAAAAGGGAGGTTTTATTAAGTATTTTGCATTTAATAAAATGTTATGCATTTTATGAAAATTTATCAGACGGCAAGAATGTTAGTGATGTAGAGTATGTTTGTGATTGGGACAGTAGTGTTTAAATCATATCCTATACAAAATTGGCAAATACATACGTAAAAAAACCTGTCTTTGATTTACCCACTGACAGTACAAATGGGCATAAGTATAGATAACAATTTTATGTTACCTGGTTTTATAATTTGGAAAAGAGGCATAAGTAACAAAAATATCACACAAGCATATTATTTAATAAATCATTCTTACTCTGGTTACAAAAGATTTATATATATTATTATTTTGAAACATTTAGTGCTTGTATAGCTCATATTTTACTCTTTTGCTAATATTGGCTAATACTAAAAATAGGTGCCTGGTTGACCCATGTTCGTTTTCCTTTGAACCACAGATATATTAATACAAAAAGGTTTTTTTACATTAATTCACAATATACAATGAAAAATTAAATGATTAAAATCGGACTGACCTTAAAGTAATTAGCAAAAAGTGATTGTTTTAGTTCTAATGTAAGTTTTCTTAGTTATCGGAAATCTTTTATCCATGTCCTTTAAAAAAACATTCCCTGTAAATGCTCATAGGCAAAGCAAAACAAAAATCGGATTTAGGTTTGATTTATTTGTGGTACTTGTATATATCATTCATATTAAATATTCCCCTGATATTTTCAGTCTCTAAATGTTCTAAACAATAACTGTTGATCTGATTTTCATTCTGCCTCCTATATGGGCCTTCTAAAACTTCTAATACTTTAAAGCCCTTACCAATATTTTTTCTCTTGCTTCAAAGGTAACTGGTCTTCTTTTTCTTTGTCTGGTTTGCCTTTAAGGGGCATTTTTCTCCACTTCTCTCTTCTTCACTGCTTCTTCCCAGGGTCGGGGTGTTGTTGTCCCTTTCATCATGAATACAGGTGCCTCTTTTGTGATCGCGTGAGGGATGAAATTTAAATACTCTTTTATTTACAACACTTTCCTATCCCAATGTCTGCGTGGCCATCCAGTATTATGCATAAAAAATTTGTGATCTCTGGTATGAATCTCTCTGAAGGGTAGCTCTCTGGATGACGTTTAGTCACAAATTTGTATCGATCCTTTGTCTCAACTGTCCTTTAAATCTATCATTTGGAAAATATGTATCATTGTCTAATAGTATGCTTCTGGGTGTTCTGATTTCTTCTCTGAATTGTTCAATCTTTCTAACTATTTCTGTACCTTTTGTTATTCAACAATAATATAATTTTATGTATTTTTAGAACAGCTCAATCATTACCAAAATATGTTTATTTCTTCATTTGATTTGGATTAGATCACTTAGCATATCTATTGCCGCTACATTGAGTTTCTGTCTGGATATTAAAACTCAAGGAATATTTGCATTTTTAAATGTTCTACTTTTATATTTCTGACATATATCGTATTTTCTCTTGATATCTTTAGACATTTTATAGTCTTCTTTGCTAATATAATTTTTCCTGAAAACCAACCAAATTAGTGCTTCCAAAATGTCTATTGTGGCGAATATTCTTTATGATTTTGCCTGCCAATTCGTTGGTTATCACATCTCTTCCTTCCGATCTCTTAATATAAATGTAATTTTCTCTTTCAGCCGTTCTTCAATCTGTTTCATCCAAATTTTTTGGTCTCTCATGACTTCTATCATCGAATAAATCCCTTCCTCATAGATCAATCGATTGATTCCTACTTGTAGTATTTTCTGGTCTTCCTTCATAAAATTTTCATCGCTAGTCAGAGCGTCCGCGATGGTGTTATCTTTATACATTTATATATTTGAATTCGAAATCATATTATTGCAACAATAATACGCTGTGATGGATTCTGTTGTTAACCAATCAATTTTTCATTATGTGGATTAAAGCAGCATCAATTTCGCACCTAATAAATAAAATCTTAATTTGTTG